TATACAAAATAAAAATGTTATTACTGTCTTCAACTTCGAAATTCAATTTAAATGTGAACTTTGTTGTGTGTGTGAGTAGAAAATGTGTTTCAAAAACTAACAATAACTTTTTGGAAGCATTCTGTATGTGTAGACGGTAAAACAAATACTTACGTATGTTTGTTCTACTTTTGAAAAATTTAACATGCTACAGAACTAAAATCCTTCTCACGTATTCCGGACATAAACTAATCGAAATTCAGGAAATACCTTATACCTAACACTTTGCCAAATATTTCGTTGCCGGAACTGCCGGTTTGAATGTAAGCCAGAATTTTCAGATGTGACGCTTAATTGCAGTTCTGATTCGAAAAAACTCAAATTTCGTTTACCTATCAATAATATTTTAACCTGGAACACATTGTTAAACCTATTCCTTCGAAAATCTATACAATATGCTATTTATAGTTATAGTTTAATTACATTTCTGCACGAATAAGTATCTGCTAGTAGCAACTACGAAATGCTTTAAAGTGCATGTGGGTATACAAACAATATATATTATGTAGAATCGAATAACTGGAAAATTGGGTGAACAATAAAACAGAGGGCTGATAGGCCCTTGCCGTAATAATTATTTCCTTGGCAAATACACCAATATTGTTTTTGAAGTACCTATGTAGGTACGCTGAATGATAATTTTCGTTACAGTTACCTCAATTGATATGTGTTGCGAAAATAACCTAATAATTTTATATGTGAATATCATAGGTATTGTTGTGTTAATCATCTAACTTATTTTGGGGCCCTTGTTTGTAGCACCCTGTTTTCTGAACCCAAAAGGATTTGGTAGTGTTACTTTAAATTTGTGTTGGTATTCGTTCTATTTTTTAATGATGATATCATTTGCGTACCGGCGCGGCGGTGGAAAGAGTCAATGTTCGTTATTGGTTGCTTCCTGATTAAAAAGTCTGAAACTGTGATAGATTTCTGGTTTAAATTAATTATTAAAAAATAGTACAAACATTTATAATCAGGTGTTTGTAAAATCGAAAACAACGTAGGTATTTTTGCAGTTTCGTGATATTTTGTCACACGGTCCCACCGTATTTTCATCAGTGTCTGCAAAAAGGTTGACTTATATGGCCATTGGTTCATAAATGACAAATATAAATAAAATAAAATAAAATTCTGCTTGTGGAGACTGTTCCAGAAACATCCCCAAAAGTGTGTACAGGATAAAATGCTGTACCTGTAACAAATGGTTTCATGGTGAATGTCCGAAACTAATCGAGTTAGAAATTCGAGTTATAAGTGAGAAAAATAATGCTTGGTTTTGCAGCAAATGTAAACGACGATTATTGATTTTGGAACTTAAATCAGAAATCGGTGAGCTTAGACAGGATATATGAGTAGGTAATAAGAGAATCTCTAGAGTTCTTTAACTTTGCTCCATCAGCCTGGCGGGGACAACCCGGCATTTTCTAATAAAAAATTGGGATTAGCCAATGCTCTAATGCAGGTTTTAATTGTGATTACAAGAGTTGTGGGCTAGGAATATAACTTGGAATACCGAAGTAGATGATGAGCTTTCTGTACAAATTAAAACCTGGGTTAAAGATCTGGAAAGTTTGGCAAAAATCGAAATTCGCCAACTCTAGTGGTGCCGCGAGACGAGACTAGACGAGACTTAGGGTTGGTCTCGTCTCGTCTCGACATCTTGAGACGAGACCGTGATTTAGTCTCGGTCTCGAGTACCAAAGTCTCGTCTCGTCTCGAGTGGTCTCGTTTGGTCTCGAGTTATACAGGGTGTCCAAAAATAGCGTAAAAACTCTTCTCTACGTGGTGGAGGACCCTACAAGGAACCCCAGAAAAATATTTTAAAAAATCTAGTGGCATTCTTCTTAAGAAAGTTTTTTGCATTTTAATTTTTATTAAATTTGACAACACTGAAAATATCCCGTTGACAATATGTCAGAGAATTAAATTAAATACCCATGTAACTACCTGAAGAATTTGAAGGTGAATTTTCACATCTACTTCTTCATATTACCAAGAATAATGCTGGACAAGGATTTTTTTAGTTTAATTATTTTTCTAGGGTTTCTCAAAGGGTCCTCTACTACGTCGATAGTTTTCACGCTATTTTTCGGACACCCTGTATTTATGGTTTTTGTTTTTATATTACAACGGAAGTCCAAACTGCCACAGTGAAAAAGCAATTAGTGAAAAATCACAGTAAAGAGTAACCCTGATATTTAATTTACTGATTTCATATTCAAATAGCCCAAAATAGTCTAATAATAAAGCTACGAAAGAAAAATTTTAAGTGTAATCTCGAGACTCGAGACTACACGAGACTCTCGCCGAGTCTGGTCTCGTTTCGTCGAGACTTCACGAGACGAGACCAAAAGCCGGTCTCGTCTCGAAAAGTCGAGACGAGACGAGACGAGACCAGTCTCGAGTCTCGCGGCATCACTAGCCACCTCGCTGGATGAAGTTTGAGAGTTGAAAGGACAGTGAAATGAGCATACCCACAAACATTTGTCGATACTTCAAAGTATGCCTATAGTAGAGTTGCCAAAAATGGAAAGGTATGGGTTTCTTTGTTGGCAGCTAAATCCAGAGTAGCTCCTATAGTAATATCATGGATTCAACAGTAATATCATGGATACATCGTAACGACGATTGGGGAACGTTTGTGTATAATCGAATGACTGAAATAAGAAAATTGACATCCCAGTTTCAGTGGCGACATATTCCAGGAATATACAATGCAGTAGATTTACCCTCTTGTGGATGGACGGCTAAGAGACCATTGGAATCCAAATGGTGGGAGGGACCTGACTGGATGTACAATAATAAAGAAAACTGGCCTTACGCTAAAAAATTACAGACTAATGAGGAGGAAATTAATGAAGAAAGAATAAAATCAGTGAAAGCACTACTAAACCTAATTTGAGAAGAAGTTGATTATCATTTAAATAAGTTCAGTAGTTTTGAGAGAACTGTTAGAATGATTGCTACTGCATTTAGGTTCATACATAACTTGACCTATAAAAGGAAAAAGCACGAAAAAAGATCTGGAATCCTGACAGTGGAAGAACTTAAGGATGCAGAAATAATAATAAAGTGCTTGAATCCGTTTTATGACGATTATGGGCTGATACGGTTCAACTCTAGAGTGTCAAGTAGACCAGATGAGACAACAAATTTAAAATTTCCTATTGTGTTGCCAAATAAATATCCCGTAATTTGCAGTTTAATTTGGAATATGCATAAAAGATTTTGCCACGTAGGAGCTCAAGGATTACTTGCGATGGTAAGAGAAAACTACTGGATTTTGGGTGGTAGAAAAGCTATCAGATCTGTAGTAAAGAAATGCTCAATGCTTGTAGAAGATTTGATGCAAAGCCGTTTGTCGTAGGCGTGGATATGTTTGTTTACGTGTGCCGTGTATCGCTGTGTACAACTCGAGTTGACTTTGGGGCTATTCGTCAACGGATTTTTACAAGTTTTACGCCGGTTTATTGCGCAGCGCGGTAGGCCAAAAATAATTTATAGTGATAACGGTACGAAGTTTCGAGGGACAGAAAATGCATTTGTAAATCTGAATTGGGACCAAATTGAGCAACAATCCTCAGTGCAACGTATTACGTGGCGTTTCAATCCTCCAACCGGATCGTGGTGGGGAGGATTTTTTGAGAGACTTATCGTTTTAGTGAAACAACTTTTACGAAAAGTTCTTGGTAAAGTGTGTTTAAATTATGAAGAAACAATGACTTTAATTCTTGATTGCGAAGCTATCGTCAACGCTCGACTATTAACTTACGTGTCAAATGATGTATCATACTTATTACCGCTAACACCTGCTATGTTTCTGTGCGAGCAAGCTGACTGTAGTGCTCCTGACGTTGATGATGCGGAGAAAACTAATTTTTTGGCTAACATGCTAGGTAAACAAAGACTGCGTGAACGGCTTCGTCGAAAATTTCGTTTGGAGTATCTAGGACGGCTTAAACTTCTGTTTGATAAGAAAACGAATGTGTCAATCAAACTGGATCAGATCGTGTTAATCGGTAATAACTTTACCAAACGCTTGGAGTGGCCTCTCGGTCGTGTAATTGAGTTCATTCCAGGAAAAGATGGGCGTGTCAGACTTGTGCGAATCAAGACTGCGCGAGGTGAATTGCTACGACCGGTGCAATGGTTGTATCCATTGGAATGCGATGTCGATGATTGTTCGGGTTTGTTTCCAACTTTCCAAGACAACAAGATGACGAGGAAACGAACCCTGATGTACCAGTTGATTTGCCGGCAGTTCCAATTAAGGAAAGTGACAAACGCGATATGCGAGTGATTAAAAGCAGAATACCCGATTCCGAAGTTATTTGTCAAAGTGTTAGTAAGAAGGTTACTTGTAGTGGCCGTAGTGTTAAATTACCACAAAGATTTTTGTGAGATTCTTAAATTGTTGCCAGTTTTTACTTGCAACTTGGTCTGCCACACTTTCATGGTTTGCTTTAGAAATCCTCGGATGGTGTTGTCAACTTTGTGAATTTGGAGTGTTTTGTGTATCCATGAGTGGGGTACCGAGTCAAACGCCTTACGGTAGTCAATCCAAGCTACTGCAATGTTTCGGCGCTGCTTGACTGCTTGTCTGATAATCATGGAGTCTATTATCAGCCGGAAATCAAGCAAAGGGAGTGCTGCCTTTGCTTTATTTCCGGCATCCGTTCTGTTCTCTCGCCATGATATTATTTGTTTTTAAATGGTCATTAATTTTTGTCTCGATTACAGAGGTAAGCATTTTGTATATAACAGGTAGACATGTTATGGGCCTATAGTTTTTTGGATGCTCAGTTTCAGCGTTTTTTGGCAACATATATTCCCTTGGTAAAGTAATCTGGTATTATGCTCAGGTCCTGAAGAGCTGTGTAAAATTGTACCGCTAGAACTTTATGGGTAACGATAGGCCTGGATGTTATCCAGGCCTGGAGCTTTCCAGCTTCCAAGTTTACCAGTTAGTCTTACCGGTTGCATGTGCTGCACGTAGGCAGCACGTTCCACTTCCTGATCTATCCAGTATGCGTCTTCTTGATGCTGTTGGCAATTCGCCCATATGTTCGTCCAGTATTCCTTCATTTCGTTCTTATCCGGGTAATTAAGATCTGTAGAAAGATTGGGGGTTTTTGTTGAATATTCGTTTAACCCTCTCATTGTACTTTCGGATTCGACACCCCAGTGCAGCAGCTTTTTGTTTAATTTTGTCCATATATGATTGTAGTTGTACTTGGGTTTGTGAATCAGTTACTTTCATGCTATCCGTTTAGAGTGCTTTTTCACTTTTTTGGATATTTGTTCTCCTTGAAAGCGTGTAGTATTCTTATGGATTTTCGAATTCCGTCTATTTTTTGCTGGAGTCTACGCTTCCACGGGGCGTCTGCCTCTGCTTGTTCTTGTATCTTCGCGTGTTTTAGTTGGACTGCCGTCGCCTGACATACAACTAACGCAGCGCAGTAGATTTTGTGGCATATTTCCTTTAGGATCGAGGTCTGAACAAGGTATACAAGTAGAAGGGCGTTGACATCTGCGACCGTGTTTTTTGGCGTTATATTATAGTTCACTTTGGGGATTCTTGGTCGTTGGTGTACTTGCATTTTGCATTCCCAATATTGCATATCTGCTTTCTGGAATAGGTCCCGTAGATTAGTAGTGTCGCGTGCATCTTGTACTTCAGCTCGAGTCAACCGCCTTGATTATCTTCGTGATCGCCCAGGGCTTGCTTGTAAAGGTTCATTAACACAAGCACTGTCTTCTCTAATACTGTCTTTTATTGCATTTAGCTTTGCTGCAGATAAAGCATTACGATTTAGAATCGACCGTACTTGGTCCGATAGTTGTTGAGCAGTTTTTTTGGCTGTTGGATGTTGTTCGTTCCATATCTCTGCGACTCTGTCTCGGTATCGAGTTTTGTTAATTTCAAGGTTAGTGGCTAGGAAGTACGCGTGCATAGGGTCAAGGTTATCTCGCTTTGTCCATCGCGTACGCGTACCTCGATCACCTGCGGCGGGTTGCTCCAACCGAGCTCTCTCTAATTAGGTGTTTATGTGTAGATGAAAATTGTTTATACCAGTAGTTGTGTACCTGGTCTGCTCCTGGACATTTCCAGTTGTGCGTTTTACTTAACGTATATTTAAACTCTTCTTCTGAGATAGTGTAATTTGTTTGTTGCGGTACGTTCTGCATCATTTCTGTTCCTTTTCTTATCCAAGTGGCGCGTTCATTGTAGTTTGTCGGGTTGGATCATATATTACTCCAATACTCTGTTCTTTGTTCCTTGCTTGGTGGTGTTGCTGGTATTATCTTGCTGCTCGTTATTTTGGTATAGAATCGTTTTTCTTGTTGGAATAACGTGTTCTGCCATTTTGTCATGTTTCATTCCTTATCTTTTTAGACGTGCTGAGTAGACTGAGAGCTTTTGTCCAAGATTTCAAGAGTTTCCTTCACTTTTTGTGCTTTGTTATCAGTTATATGCCGAATATTTTTTAAATTGATTTTGTATGTTTTCCTTGCACATTTTGTGTTGTTCTTCCTATATATTTTCTAAGTTTATCTATTTTTCTCTCTAGTCTCAAGTGCAATGCTGGTTTCGCCATTCTTGTCTCTTGCATCTGCTCTCTATCTGTTAGTTTCTGTTTATTTAGTTTAATGGTTGCTGGTTGCTGCTGCACATGCGTATATGATACCTACTTATATGATATGATGTTTACCGATGTATATTTTCTAAGTCTGTATCTTCTTCCAAATATATCTGTAATAAATTGCTTACCGCTTTTATTGTATTGTCGGTGTACTGATTTATTCTCAATCTGGGAAGACCTGGTCGATTTATTGGGTTACTTCCCTTCCATTTGATGATCTTCTGTTGGACTTCCATTTCGATTTCGTCAATTTCCATAATGGGGTCAACATGTTGGTCTATGAATTTTGGTTTTTCCGTGATCGGAGTGGTAGTAGTTGCTTCACTTTTTAAGGTCGTTTCTATTTCGGGATCTTCTATTTTTGCTGGTATTGTCTCCATGGCAAATATTTCTTCAGCAACTTGTTTTTTCATTTGTTCTAGTTCTAACTGCGCGAGCTGTTTGTTTTTCAATATTGTTCGATTTGGGTTGATAAATCGTTGTTCTGTGACTCTTTCTCCTAATTCTGGGTGTACCTTCAAGGAATTGTGTGGGTCATGCCTATATCCTGTAGATATCGTCTCATAGGTACCTATATAACCTTAGGGTGGTTGTTTTTACTAATAACTGTTGGCCTGTCTGTGATTGTCATAATACTTGTTCTAGTTCTTCTGTTCTGTGTATGTGGTATACTCTAAATTTCAATATAAATACTTCTGATAGGCAGAGGATTTCTAGGCTTATTCCATAAGTGCTAGTTTCTTTCATTAGATTATAATAATTTTCGAAGTTTTTTAGCTTTTGCTCATTTATGAGAGCAAAACTATTCAACTCCGGCCAATTCTGTTCCATATAACTGAGAACATCTTGCCTTATTCTTTGATGATTGTCTTGATGGCCATATAAGAGGAGACTAACTGATCTGAAGAGGCAGCTTCTATCACCAATCACTTCTCCTGTCTTAAAATGTACTGGAACGGGGATATGTTCGGCTGTAAGAATTTTATCGGCAGAGGCTCGCCTGTTCAGCGCTCTACCGCCACCTTTTCGCATGCTGTCACCTGCAGCAGTGGCTCCAGGGGCACCCTGACGCAGCGGCTTTTCTCCGAGGCTTCTCATTGTCACCATTTCCATGAGGCCCCCTTGTTCGCAGGGGATACGGCATTTTAGCTCTACTGCCTGGTAACTCGGACCCGTGGGGACGTCACACCCCAAAAGCAACTGGATCGAAGTTCAGCCACCCCCCGTGCAGGGTTATTATTATTATTATTATTATTATTATCACTATAAGTCCAAGAAACGGGGATCTGAAAAGAGGGTTTACCTCAACATAATTAGAAGTTAACATTTTTTGAGGGGGATCGGTCCATTTTCATGTGCTTAATAACATATTAAGTTTGCGACCTTGTACTTCCATAGGGTTTTTAGTTAGAGGTGGTTTTTAGGGGTAATTTGCGGTTTATGGAGAACGCTGCTCAAAGGGATGGTCCAATAGCAGAAAGTTTCAAATGATTGTTGTAGCTAAAGTTGTTTGCTATAAAAAACTCAGCGACAGCACCCCTCTTTCTTCTATATTTTTTTTTCTGCAGCGTCTTGAATAGTAGCATGCTTTTATTCAAGGTCACTGAATCAACGTTTTGCCTGTTCCCGTGCATTTGATGCAACAGCGGCCGAATGCATAATCCGATTTTAATTTTTCAAACACCACATTATTGCTAATGAAATGCACACTCCAATGCTTTTTTTTCGAATTTTTTGCTTGAAAATTAAGCGAGCACGGACTTGCCTAATGTGCGAGGAAGTTGTAAATTACATCGAAAACTACCCCTTTCTTTCATTCACTGTAATTTCTAAACGGGGCCAAATATTGGGTGACAGTTTTCAACAATCGGCAGCCCATTTATTCCTCTCATAATGCCCCAGCGGATTGTTTTTTTCGGTAATTACTCAATGACTTATTGGCCTGAACACGTCGCGCAGAATTTTTCAAAAAGGCAAAAAAAAATAAAATTGTTGCACAGCGGTGAAATTTGGTAAGATGGCTTTATTTATTGTTCTTATGAATATACTGCAATTTTATTTGCTTCACATGACTGCTGCAACAATTAGAATTGCAGTATATTCATGAGAACAATAAATAAAGCCATCGTAGCTTTCAGCGCTGTGCGGACAATTTTAATTTTTTTTTTACTTTTTGAAAAATTCCGCGCGACGTATTCAGGCCAATAAGTCATTGAATAATTAAGGAAAAAAAAAATCCGCTGGGGCATTATGAGAGGAATAAATGGGCTACCGATGGTCGAAAACTGTCACCAAATATTTGGCCCCGTTTAGAAATTACAGTGAATGCAAGAAAGGGGTAGTTTTTGATGCAATTTACAACTTCCGCGCACATTAGGAGAGTCCGTGCTTGCTTAATTTTCAAGCAAAAAAATTCGAACAAAAAAGCATTGGAGAGTGCATTTCATTAGTAATAATGTGGTGTTTGAAAAATTGAAATCGGATTATGCATTCGGCCGCTGTTGCATCAAATGCGCGGAACAGGCAAAACGTTGATTCAGTGACCTTGAATGAAAACACGCAACTTTTCAAGACGCTGCAAAAAAAAAAACTATAGAAGATAGAGGGGTGCTGTCGGTGAGTTTTTTTATAGCAAAAAACTTCAGCTACAACAATCATTTGAAACTTTTTGCTATTGGACCATTCCTTTGAGCAGCGTTCTCCATAAACCGCAAATTACCCCTAAAAACCACCCCTAACTAAAAACCCTATGGAAGTACAGGTGATTCATTAAGAATGGCACTCGGCCATATCTCAAAAACTATTCATCGTAGTCTTGTCGGAAAAAAATTATTCCATAAATATGGCCAAGAGAAAATGCTGGAAATATATTCCAGCTTTCTAAAATGACCGCAAGGGGGCGTAACCCAACTGTCAAAGTACAAAAATGGTTTTTTTTTTAAATTTCAAATGGAAACGTATCTCAAAAATACTAGCAATAGATTTTTGATGAAATTTCACACAATTTTGATTCATAACTTTTTACCCTAACTTATCGGATAAGATAGTTATGAGCTGTCAAATATTGCAACACAAGAAAGCGGATAACGTCAAAACGACTCAACAAATCTGGTCGATCTTAGGTTCGTTGGAAAGATAAGAGTCTGTTCTTTAACTTTGTTGTGAAAAATTCAAATTCTGGTTAGTAGGACTGACGCTATGCGTCAATATTTGAGAACAATTGAATGTTTCCAATTTTTCTTAAAATTTTCAAATGGAGCGGTATATTTAAGATATGCTATATCGATTTTTGAGGATGTTTTACATAGTGTTTCTTTATTATACCTTCCTACAAACGAATTCCAGAGAGTGTTAAAATTAATTTTATTAAAAATAATCAGTATTTATGAAAAAGCCGTCGTAAATTGAGCAGATACCAGTTAAGTATGTCAGGCTGACACATTTTTGAAACTTCAAACGCTATTTTCTAAAGTCAAAATGCATTTCTCAAATGGAGAAGCACAGGACATCCTTGCATGAATGTAATGGAAATGCAACAATCGCAGCCACTAAAATCTAATTACTTATTTTGAAAATGGACAATGCTTATAAAAAAAAATAATAGACTGGTTTTGGATTATCTCTGTTAGTATTTACAGAAAGAACAGAATGAAAAATGAATAAATCCACAGTACGCGGGTGCCGAATTTATGCTGAAATGACGTCTAGATTTTAATTTCCAAAATTATTAATAGATGGCACCACCACTTGAGTAGTTTACTATTCTCAAAATAAATATGTATTTCTTCTTCAAGTTTCGTACCCTACAACATGCTCGTGTATTAATCATTACATTATCATTGCATAATATAGTTACTATTATAATTTCCTAACGCACTTTTTCCATTATTTGACATTCGTCAATGATGACAATCAACTGTCAGAAAAGCAAAGTCATTATTTACGAGGGCTTTTTCATAAATATTGATTATTTTTGATAAAATTAAATTTAACACTCTCTGGAATTCGTTTGTAGGGAGGTTTAATAAAGAAAAACTGTGTAAAACATCCTCAAAAACCGATTGAACATATTTTAAATATACCGTTCCATTTGAAAATTTCAAGAAAAATTGGAAAAATTCAATTGTTTTCAAATATCCACCCATAGAGTCAGTCCAACTAACTGAAGTTGGATTTTTTTACAATAAAATTAAAGAACAGACTCTTGTCATTCCAACGAACCTAAGATCGACCCAATTTGTTGAGTCGTTTTGAAGTTATTCGTGTTCTTAAGTTGCAATATTCGACAGCTCGTAACTGTCTTATCCGATAAGTTATGATAAAAAGTCATGAATCAAAATTGTGTGAAATTCCATCAAAAATATATTGCTAGCATTTTTGAGATACGTTTCCATTTGAAATTTAAAAAATAAAACCATTTTTGTACTTTGACAGTTGGGTTACGCCCCCTTACGGTCATTTTAGAAAGCTGAAACATATTTCCAGCATTTTCTCTTGGCGATATTTATGGGATAATTTTTTCCCGACATGACTACGATGAATAGTTTTTGAGATATGGCCGAGTACCATTCCTAATGAATCACCCTGTACAAGGTCGCAAACATAATATGTTATTAAGCACATGAAAATGGACCGATCCCCCCCAAAAAATGTTAACTTCTAATTATGTTGAGGTAAACTTCCTTGATTGCTTGGCCTATTATTATTATTATTTTCTTTTCTTTCTCAGTTTTTAGCTGGTCTATTTCTTAGCTAACGGGCTAATATACCAAGTTAGCTAAGCAACTACTTCCTGTTGCTCTTGTGATATTGCATGTATGGAGTATGACTGCTTTTTGTGCTTAAGCTTGGATGTATTCTGGAAAATTTAGTTGTTTGGGATGTTTAGGGAATGAGTGCGGAGTGATTCCCGTTGCTGACATTATAATCGGTAAGATATGCACTTCTTTCTGTTTCCATCTCCTTTTTTTTGTATAGTTTTTGATGGTATTAGAATCTGATGGTAAAGCTATGTCTATGAGATAAGTAATTATTTTCTCTGTCATGTTTTGGAATGTTATATATATCTGGTCTGTTGTGCATTACAGTTTTGTCGTTTGAATCGTTAAATCCCATTATTATTATTCTTTATTAGTTATTTTCACGTGCTCGAAAGGTCATATTATAGGTAAACGGTAGTCAATTGCATATTTAAAGGGACAAATTTTATGTCGGTCAAATGACGATGGCTGGTCGTAAAAATCTAAGTTCAACGCGGTGGCTAAATTTGGTAAAATGGCGGTAGTAAATCACGAATGTGAATCCTATTCGCCTTCTTTTAAACGCATAATGATTTTTTCTTATTGTACACCAATAATACGTATTTAGTTTTTTAATTTTAGCGATTATTTCGGTCCATTTGGAGCAACAAGGATTTCAAATTGACGAAAAACCCAATGCGTGGGCACTTGCAATTTGTAACTCTCATTAGAAAGCATTTATCTACTTCGAAGTCGAAAGAAACCAACTGGTTTAGCAATCAAATAAATAGCCTTTCCCTCGCTTGCTCAAACCATCCCGCCATCATTTGATTAAGCGGCTAAGTGATTTGTGTATCCAATGAGCTTGTATCATTCGGGTTTTGCGCATTCCGATTGAAAATACTGTTACGTTGCTTTCAGACTTTGAAAATGATAATAATGCGGTGATTTTATATTAAAAAATGATTACGCGTTTAGCGGAATTTATAACATTATATACTAAAATATGATTCTCTGGCTGTCGACTCTCGTTTTGTACTCTATCTTCTGCGCTGATGTCGCAAAAAGGCTGGTATATAGCAGTGTGTATATTTTTCTCAAACGCGAGAATATATACTATGTGACATATTTTTTAACAAATTTTCTACATGTTAATGGTGTACAAAATAACAATTATTGATTAAACGTTACTTTATTTTCATATGCTTTATTAAATTAAATTTTATTTTTAATAGCCCAAGCATATGTACAGAATTTGGAATATTTATACTTCTATGGGGTGATGCGTTTTTTTTGTCACACAGTATATGTATGTACAGTGACCGGCAACAAGTTTGCAACAAATGGGAAACTATTTTA